CTATGTAAAGCATTATCTGATTTTAGTGAAATTTCTTATCTTACTGGTAAAAAGGGATCAGTCGAAACAAGTCCAAAGGAATTAATCAATTTATCTTATAAGAAGATCAAAAACCAGAAAATTGTAGAAGTTGGTGGTACAACAGCAATTGTAGCTCATTTCCCATCAAATGGTAATTTGACAGTTGCAAATTTAGGTGATTCATGGTGTGGCGTATTTAGAGATGACAAATTAGTATTTGAAACTAAGTTTCAAACAGTTGGGTTCAATGCACCATATCAATTGGCGATTATACCGGATAAAATGTTAAGAGAAGCTAAAAGGAAAGGGAGCTCATATATTCAAAACGAACCATCGGATGCTGACGAATACAATTTTCAATTAAAAAAAAGTGATATTATTGTTCTAGCAACAGATGGTGTTACTGACAACGTTGCCACAGATGACATAGCATTATTCTTCAAAGAGCATCCTACGAATACCCAAGAACAATTACAAGAAGCATCGAATCTTTTAGTTAAAAACGTCGTCAAATTAAGTAAGGACCCACAATTTCCAAGTGTTTTCGCTCAAGAGTTGTCAAGATTATCAGGAAAATTCTACTCAGGTGGAAAAGAAGATGATATCACCATGGTTGTTGTAAAAGTAGAATAAATCAGTCCATAAATTGGTATTTAGTACATTGTTTTTTTTTATTGTCCTTCTAAAATATTTTTCCATCCTGTTGAACCATCTTAAAAGATATCAGAATTAAATCGCATAATATCGCAACACTTGCAAGTTACATATTCAATTCCCTCAGTGATCACTGTCTACACAATGTAACACTTATATTAGAGAAACATTGTCCTATAAGTATATATTCACCCATATATATAGATATATACAAATTAATTATGGCTCCTATATATACTGGCACTAAGTAGTAGATATGGATCAATATCCAGGAACCGAAATCGAATCGAATATCAAAGTGAAAAATTCCGTATACGTAATATAAGAAGATGTTAGATGCAACTTGAAATTGTTGATCTAATAAGTCATCAAAGTCGTCAGCTAAGGTCAATGCTTTGACTATACATGATATTGTATTTGTCTTTTGTTTGTATTTTTTAAAATTTTTAGATTTGACTTCAAATGGAAGACGTGCTTATATTTTTGGTTCTTCTAATAAGTTCGATATTTGTATATACTTGGACTTATCAAATTGGCTGGTTTAAAATTGATTCATTGTTCAATTTTATATCAGTTCCTACTAAAGCTGGTAATCTATCGAAACTTCCAGGATGGAAATCCAGAGATGATAGTTTTTTTTATAAATTTTATGCAGAATATTCTGTGCCATCTCATAAACTAATGAAAGGAATAAGGATCTTATTCTCCATCTCTATGGTTTGTTATGCAATTACTATTGAAATAATTTTATGGCAAATAATGACTGCTGAAGCTAACCAAGAAGCTGATTTTATTACAAATATGATTTGGCCATTCGTTTCATTACTACTTATGACATTATTAATCATTGTTCAACCTTTCTTAATAATTGTTTCATTATTAGACAAATTCTTTAACGATAGATATAATGTAAGGAAACTATCATTCATCGGTGGTACAATATGTGTGTTCACTATACTTGTATTAAAATACGTCAGTTTTGGTCCATTAGGAATTCCGAAAAATATTTTAACAAATTTTTTATTGGCGGAGTCGCGGTATTAAGCTGGTTTTTCGCAAATTGCTTCAGTTCGACCCATTTATAAACCTTTAGAATGGGTTGGAAAAATGGTAAATTGTCTATGAATGGAGTACAAAATATCCATACAAATAGTGGGAAATCGTTGCTTTGGGCAAGTGATACCTCTGTGAGAGAAAAGATTATTGATTATCAACAAATTATTGAACAAAATATCGATATTCTTAGAAAATTAGACGATGACTCTGTAAATGATACATCAGTACTGAGAGATCAATTAATAGAGAAAATCGGTTGGTATCAATTAGAGGTAGGGAAACTGGAATCCCAGATTAAAGAACCAATATATTTGAGAAATGGTAAAAAATTGTTCCATTTAGTGTTTTTGATTTATTGTATACATAAAGTCATTACTACATTTATTACAAGAATACCATTCATTATCATTCATTCCCTGCAACATCCAAACGATTTTGATTACAAATATTTTGATATAAATGGGAGATCTAGTTTTGGTTCTGATCCATTGGCAATAACACTGGCAAATATACTGAATTTCGTATTATTTCACTTTAACTACGATCAAGATTTAGAATCACTATCTAGACAGATTTCATTGTTACTATCTACCTCATTGTTTGCCGCTTCTCTATCAACAGTAGTGACAACTATATCTTACATGTCTGCACTACTACCGATTAGATTCCAAATCTTAGCTATGTTTGCCATGCAAAGTAATGAAGATTCAGATGCATTGCCAACTTCAAAAGGAGTTTCGAAAATATATCAGAAAAAACCTTCAATGATTAAGAATCTATTTGTTTCAGAATTAGCTGGTATCTATGTGGTTGCTACTATGTTAAGCATCAGATCGAATCTCCCACATTCAATATCACAAAAATTAAATGAGCTTTTAGGTGAAAAGTTTTCTGTACCTAATGTCATAATAGATATTTGGTTTTATGAAATATATGCAATAGCCTGCGTAATTACTTTTTCAACAATTAAAATTGCTGAAAATGCATTTTTTGAATCTAAAAAAGATGAAAGTTGATTCATGGACAACAAATATGTACATCAATATTTATAATAATAAATAATTAAACAAAATTATAATATAAAATAAAGTTTTAATCGTTGTTATGTTATACCAGGAATAAAATTAATAATGAGTGTCCTAATGTAAACCTCTTGACAAGGCTAATGTAATAGATAAATTTGAAAAAAAAATAATAATAATATGGACAAATAATAATGCAAAATAATGTTTTTAATAATAATTTTAATGACGAATTTTCTTCATTAGAAGAGTAATGTAGCAAATATAATAATAAATTTTTTGAAGTGGCTTTTAAATAAAATATCAACCAAATTAATAAACCTCAGAAACAGACTAATGGATGAATTTATAGATATTCTTTGAAACTACGATCATCTGATAGGTTTTCCGAGGCCATTATATATATTTCAATTAGCAAATTAGGAAATTTCTTCAAAAAGTAATTATAAAACCCATCAGGTAATTGACCAATTTCATTCATCAGTTTCTGAGGCATATCGTTATAATGATGATATTTATTTCTCAACGAACGTAACAGATCCATTAACATTTCACCATGGTATTTTCTGTATCTTCCCAAGTTGTCTATGAAAAGTGAATTGAACTTTGAAGTCCAATCACCGTTTTCAATAACCTTCGATGCATGTGATTCCAAAGTAAGCAGCAATGGACTTGGAGGATCTCTTCTTTCAAACTCAAAACGATCACTAATTTTTAATAAAAACTGCAATTTTTTAGATGCAGACCAAAATAAAGGATGTTTTAATACGTTGCTTGCAGAAGGTCTTTTTAATGGATCATTATCAAGCATCTTCTCGATCAAATCCTTTGCTTCAATTACAAGGGCTGGATTTCCTACAGTAGAGTCTAAGTCATGCAATGAGTAATTTCCTTTTATAATATTGGCCTCCCTCATATACCTATCACCAAATGGGTGTTGACCATTCGACAAAACATAATAGAAAACGCAACCAAGCGAAAAGATATCAATGGCTCTTGTTAATCTTAATTTTGTAAAAGGATCATAAAATGATTCCATCGAAGAGTTGATATTTGAAGACTTATCATGTTCAGAATCTTCTTGAATTGGTTGTAGTTTTCTCCTATTACTATCAAGCAATTCTGGGGCTCTCCATCCAGTTGTACCTGCTGCATTGTTGGTATTAGTTTGGAACGAAGATTTATCAGCATCTAGTTTTTTACATAAACCAAAATCGGAAATCAGAATTCTCACGTTATTAGTGTTTATGTAGAATTGATTTTGAGTATGGCCTTCAACTAATTTTTTTGAAGTAGATACCAATATGTTTTGGGGTTTCAAATCTCTATGAATAATTTTCAATAGATGCAAATGAGCTACACCTGCTGCAATTTGCTGAAGGATGGCAATACTATTCAGATCAGATATCAAAGGCCCTGAAGGCGGTTCGTTCATGGATGACAGTTCTAAGTCAGGGAATTTAATTCTAGTATCAATCAAATCCTCCAATGTGGAGTTACAAAGTTCCAATGCAATATATAAGAATTTCTCTGTATATTCGGAACAATAATATCTAATAACATTTGGATGATCATCACTTTCTGTCAATAAATCAATTTCTCTAGTTGCAATATCGCAGAAATCAATTAACATTCTTTTCACAGCTACAGGTCTTCCTTGAAACTCACCTTGATACACCACAGTACCGGAAGAACCATAACCTAAAACTTTTTCGCTGACAGATAAGCTTCTTAAGCTATCATCGCCATTATAATCTTCTGTAGAGACCGCAGTAAGCTGACCATTCATTTGATTCACATGTACTTTAGTTTCAGACATTTCGTCATCTGTAATTTTCACTATCGTCTGTTTCTTCTTACCTTTTTTATTCTTTCTTTTACGTCTTTTGTCTGAATTACCTAAGTTTATAGTATCAGTATCGTCTGTATTAAGTAATGTCTTGGAGGAAGATGAATCAGTGAAATTAGATGACCTGGTTGAAGCTGATGTGCTTGTTTTTGAAATTTCCATATTGATTTCGTCAGATGCTTCATTAGTAGGATTCTTTTCTATAAAATTATTATCAATATGATTTGGCTCGTGTAACAGTTCATCATTATCAATATTTGAATGAACTTCTCTAACTGGTAGAAGACCACTTGACCTAAAAAAAGAATTTAACGGTGGTAATATCTCGAACTTCTGCAAAAGTACCATTACGAAAATTAATGCAATTAAAAGAAAACCGGTTTCAATAACTTTATAAATAAAATTCTTTGCAAAATGAAATAATGATTCTGAATTACGACTTTCTTCAAAGAACTGTTTGGCAATTTGTTGATGTACTCTACGTTTATATGCCTGAAATTCTTCTGGGGAGAAATAATTTCTAAGATCATCATCATTTTCATCGAACTCATTACTTGTTCTCCTTTCCACAGCTTCATAATCTACCAAATTTCTCTTTGTCTTTATTCTGTTTCTATGAATTGTAGTATCTTCATCAAAATCCTTGTTTATGTACACGTCTCCATCTTCAACATGTAGATAATGCTCATCATCATAGGGTAGCATTAATAGATTGTTGTCACTAGCTAGATGATAATTATAGTAATGATTTTTCTTTTTGTTATTTAAAAAGTGAACTCCTCTGATTGCAGATTTAAAAATCCTTTGATTACGCAAAATTCTTAATTTCATGTCATAATCAAATCCATCGCCAAGTTTCATCTCTCTTTGGGTATATCTTGAATATTTAGCAGAATCTACGAACGATGGGAAATGTTTGTCAGACAAAGCTATCCATGAATTATTTTCTAATAGATCAATATAAACTTTATCAACATTTTCTTCTTTTTTATTATCCTTGAACTTCTGAAATGGATGTTGTATCAGTATATTTTCATTTGTATCATTATTCTTGAAAACATCAAAAATATTGTTGATAATACTTGGTGAAATTTCATCAGAGACCCATTTTACATCATTTAGGCCAGTATCCATGGCCATAATTGAGTAAAAATTATTTTTCTCTGTTTTTACTGGACAAATGCAAATACCATCTTTTGGATTATCATAATTATTGGACAAATGCAGATCTAATGAGTTTTGTTGCCATGTAGTATATGTTACATTATAAGATGGAGAGTCGGAAGAATGAATTTCCAGTTCATAAGTAGTTCTACCAATTTTAATTAAGTTTTCTTGGATCACATCTTCTTTAACGTATATTTTGTTTTCAGTCCCGAATCCAAATGCTGATATTACTGTTCCGGTAATTAAATCTATTGTGAACATTGAAGTTTGTCTTGAGCCAGTATAAGTTTTTTCCTCTTCAATGATTGTTCCGATGTCATCGATAATAAAGTTTGTCTTTAGATTCATTGGGGAGGACATTATTAATTGATGTATTGAAATTGGCAATTTAGTTAAACCTTGAAAAATATTAAAGAAATAAATGTTTCCATCGCCGAATGGTTCTATTATTAATGTTTCGTTATTCTTATTGTGATTGACAGAAGTAGTAACGTTATAATTTGGATCTTGTATAGATAAAGTAGAATAATTTTCATCAATATGATTCAATGACCATAAATTTTCACCTGTGTATCTATTTACAGCGTGTAGGCCACCTTTCAAATCAGAGACTAATACGATATCTTGAATAGAAAAGTTATCTAAAGAAGCGTCATTATTGTAAGGAATCATCATGTTTGCTTTTCTTCTATAAATACTTGAACTTGGTCCAATTTTTTTAATTGGATATTTATTAAAATCATAAGTAGTTGATGAGAAAATGGAATTTGAAGCTTTCTTAGAAGTAGTTGAAAAAAATTCATTTTTTGCAGGTATTGTAAAATAACCATTCATCTGATGATGAGAATTACCATTGCTATTGCTCTTGTTCTTATAATTATTATCATTATCGCCACTATTACTGCTAAAGGTGCTCTTAAAAGTAGAAATTGATGATGACGATGATGTAGGAGATGAATATAATTTTTTTCTACTAGTCTTTGAAACTCTGGGTATTACAGTGGTTGAAGTGACACTGTTGACGTTACTATTGACTATTTTCCTTTTTTTATATCGACTATTTATGTTTTTGCTTCTTTTAGCTCTCGTATTTCGTATTCTCCCAATCTGAGTAGTTGAAGTAATATCGTTATCATAGTAGGCAAAAGTATAAGATATGAGTGTGGAAATAAATATGAATAACCATAGCCAAGGGATATGTATATTCCTGCTGATAGTAGTATTATTATATAGCAACATCATGCATATTTATCTTCAGCACATTTAATAAAAGGACAAAATCCAAAATTACTTCTATAGTTAAATCAATGAAAAGAGAGCGAATGGGGTCTAAGCTTTTAATACCACTAAATTATGTAACACACAATAAGCAGGTATATGTATATATCAGTTAATATTAGCTAACCTGATGCAAACCAGTGTTCCTTTCTATCTTTTTTATTCAAAAGGATAGGAGAGTTAGCTATCTTAGTATTAACTTTTTCAAAAATTTTCTAATCTTGTATGTTATGCTATTTTCAACAACAAATTTCAATAGTCTGGTTCTGTTCTATAAAAGACAAATTAAAACCTTGATTAAATATATAAGAGGTATCTATAAATAAGTACAATGAACAATATATTAACAATGAGTAACTAGTATCAAATAGAGTAATAATAGTCAAATATTTCTTTTTAAAAAAAGTGCATGTATAACTTGGATAGATAGTTTTGTTAACAACTAGAACCATTTCTCTAAGCACTACAAGAAAAAGAAAGGAAATATATATAGATATATAAATACATTTAAGAGATAGTACCTTCTAACAAGAGAATAAAAGTAGCTATAGCCATGAATTAATGTAAAACCATTTGTTTGTAAGGTAAGCCAAGATTCAAGAAAGTTAATAATAAAGTTTTAATGGTAGAGAGGTAGGAAATCCAGTGAACTACACTGATGAATCAATCCAAATTGCGTTGAAATGGGATGAGTAGAATTGAATCCGATAGTTTTAAGCAAGACATTGAGTTTCGAAAGTTGTGCGAGAGATGTATCTAATGATTTGATCTTGGTTTAGGTTTGATTTAGTTTTAGTTAAGTTTATTTGGTTAGGGCTGATATCTTCGAGTTCCTTATAGCTTTTTGCAAAATACCCACAATTAACCGGTGTTGGCATTTAACAAACATAACGTAACTTTTTCTGTGTTGCACTGGAACTGTCCTGTAGATATATGGATATAAAATTGTAGATGGTAGCATCTATTTTAAGCATAGGCAACTAAGATGTAGGAAGTTTTGATCCATGAGAAGAAGAGAGACATGTAGACAATACCCGACTGCAAGTATAAGGAAGTAGTTGTGGTTGCAAACTTCAATCCATTGGGTTTTTCCTGTTCCGGAGAAAAGTCAATAATAGGTGTAAAACATACATAAATGTATTGGACAAGAGTTGTATAAACGTATATGGTGAAGAGTTTTGAATCCAAATACCAAATGTTTCCTATAGTTGGGATGTGATTAATTAAACTACAATGCATTGAATTGAAATGAACTAAATTGCATTGCATTGCGTTATACGTTCTGTGGTCCTCTCTTGTCTTGTTTTGTACTATGTTTGTCGGTTTTGTTTCCAAACAGGATAAAATTGTATGTTTGGTTTTATTACTTTATTCCTTTGGTAACTGTTGTATCCATGAATAATATATTTCTTTAGCAGACATTGCTTGTTTCAAATGGAGAAATGAAGGGAGGGAGCACAGTTTTTAAGTCATTAGACAGTATGAGAGGCATTTCTTATCGTATTCAGCCTCTTAATATTTTATTTTTAGTACCCTCTTGTTACCTCCTTTCATCTCAGTCCAGTGTTAATATAGTAAACTTGAATTCATCTATGTAGCAATACTGTTACCCTCTTTTAATCACGTGAATATATTAGTTCTGCTTCTAATCTAGTTACCCTCCCTATAAATTTTTTTTTATCTCCGTCGTGATGAGCTTTAAAAGAACAGGCTACTTGCATTCACCCATCGCTGTCAACATATACCTTCAAAACTACAAAGATATCGTCAGTTGATCACGTCGTCA